ATACTATTTTTAACGTTACTTTCGATGTTAATCATCATTTGCTTGCTTGCTTACCACTACACCACAGCGGCCGAATATTCCCCTACTAAATGTATTACGAGTTGGGTTGGTGCTCTTTCATATGCGTATTTTTTTTTAATTTAGCACGTTTTTTTTATGATAAATTTTTTTCCTCTCATTGTAAATCTTCTGGAAATTTTTTGTTCGCGAATTTTCTTCCACACAAAGCTTGTTCCACATTTTTTTTTTTTTGTATGGAGAAATGAGCAAAAAAATTAACAAAAAAAAATTCCAAAAACCAGCGGTAAGCCGTAGCTAATAAAATTTGCACATGGTTTCGAATGGGCTACAAAACTGCATACTCAGAATATTTCTAAGTAATCTAATTAAAAAGCTGGATATTTTGATGAAACTTTAGTTGAATTTTCCTGATTTTTGTACACAGTTTGAAATTCTGACTACGCTTTCACAAAAGAATAACAGACATTAAATAAACGATATGGCAATAGCCAAAGAATGCTAAAATGTCTCTTCCCTATGTGTATTTTCGCCACTGTATTTGTGTGTATATGTATGGCGAGATGTCGCAACTGTAACCCTTTCGAAAGAACAATTCATAGAAAATTTCTTTTTGCAACATACCCAATCGAATTTATACAATATGTAGTGATCTAAAAACAATATTTGTCACATCTAAAAAAATTGTAATAGAGTTTGAGGTTAAAAAAAAATGTATAGTACTTACAGCCAGTTTCACGAAAGCAATTTAAGTGAAAAATTATTTTAATAATTTTTTTTTGATTTTATATGGAAATTAACAGAAAATAAAAAATCATTTTCCATTTAAATAGCTGGTGAAACCTGCTGTTAGTAGCTGCTTTATCTGCACTTCACCCAGTCAATTTCGCACTCGAGCCCAAATTTCGTGTTTCACTTGCAGACTAGCGCCTAATACTTTTTTCTCTTTGGAATGTTTTTAGGTTTCATATTTGTTGCAGTACAAAATAAACTAAGTAGTATATCTATAAATTTCAAATTAAAAAATAACTAAACTAAATTAATTATACAAGCACATACAACAACACTACAGGCTCCTCATACCAATGATAATGCTTTGATTTCTTAATTTCTTTAAAAAAAAAAAGCAAAAAAAATTATTAGTTACTACTTTTTTGCTAGTAGTACTACTTTTTTACTCATAATTAATAGTTTTTTCTTTTAGTTAATTATTTCACTAAAGAAATTTTCGCAAGTAAACGGCTGCAAATTTAGTACCTGGCATCATTTTTTTGTTATTGTTTTCAGTTATATGTATGTGTATGAGGTAGTAATGCGGTATTTATTATTATTCGTTTTTCTTTGCGCATATTTGCTTAAGCCGTTTCACGTTTCAAAATTTTAAATGTTGTAATTCATTTTTTTCTTTCTTCTAATTACTATTACTGCTCATATTGAAGTAATATTTATGTAAGTAGTGCAAGTTTAAATGGAAAGTACTTGGTAAATTGTACTTTTGCCCTGAGAAAAAGTTCTAGTCCTGTTTTGATTTACCTTAATTTTATTTATGTATGCAGCGCATATCTGTATGTACTATTTATGTATAGTAATGTAGTATGTATTTATGTAGTTAATTATGTAACATGTGATTAAGTGTTTCGGTATGTGTCTATGTATGTATGTATGTACATAATTTCAGCATCGGCTATTCCCTATGTACATATGTATATATTTTATATACGAGCGTACGTATTTCGTTTGGCAAATATGTATGTATGTACTTATGTATGGATTTATGTATATGTATGTATTTTATGTATGTACGTGTTATATTAGCCACTACATGCATGCGTGTATTTTTATTTATTTATTTTTTTTGTTATTTTCTTATATCAATGGAATGCTTTTACTGTATATTTTATTTGCATAAGTAGATACTTGTAAACTTAATTAGATATATTTTCTATAGTAAATTCACTTTTTTCCAATTTATTTTTTTTTGTTTCAAAATTCTCTTCATATTTTTGAGCAAAGCATTTACCGTTTTGGGTTTTATGCCTGTATGTATGCGTGTTGTGTTTTTCGTTTTTGTGCGTTCTTATCTTTACCACTATATACATATGTATGTAGTAATTAGTTAGTTTTCGTTTTTTTTTTTTTAATTACGTAGCCGCTTTTATTCACCTGTGGAAGCGTACTTTTATGCCTTGCCTTCTACTTAATGCATCACTCACTAAATTTTTGCATAGCTTTTATATGCTTGTCTTTATATTAAATATTTAAATTAACTACAACTGTCACTGTGTCTGTATTGTGTTTTTTTTCTTAATTTGCAATATTTTTCACTAATAATTTTTTTTATATAAAAAAAGATTTTGATTTTTGTCATAGGAACTTTTGATTTTCATTCATCACTCAAGTCGCAAACTCAGTGATAAGATTGCGCGTCATTAGCTAGCGAAAAGTGTTGCCAGATGGTATGTTTTTGTATTACAAAGTCTTATATCGGTACTAAGCTATTTTCGGTAATTTAATATGGTTTTTCACTTCGCAGAAGGCTTAATTTCAAAAGCGCACTCAGTCTTTTATTGTAGTTTGAAATAATCGCAGAGTCTATGCTAAATATCGGTAATCAAAGTTGTATAGATAATTTTAGCGTTTATGTGTTTATGTATGGAAGTGTTTTGAAGCATCTAAATAGTCAAAAAGTATCGGTATTTGCAATATCCATTTCCTATGAACCATTCTGCGATGGCACAAGAAAAAATAGTAATTTATATAGTACATATACTATTTACTATAAAAAAAGAAATCGATGATCTCCAACTTAAGGAATTCTTAAAAAAAAAAAAATAATTATCAATCTTCCCCTCTCAACAGTTTTTCGATAAATTTAGATAGTTTTGCTGATTTTAGAAATTCATATCGGTAAATAGTAATATTGCTATTAAACAATAGAGCCCCAAGCTCGATAAAAATTGTTTAATATGAAAAATAACAAAAAAACCAGTAATAGATTTTTTTAATGTTGTCGATATTCGCTTTTTAAAGTTTTTTTTAAATATTTATTGTTCGATAATTATCGATTAATCATTTTAATCTCGATAAAAACATATATCGATTTATTAAAAATTTTCCATACAATTTTAAATTAGGTTATTCGATAATTATAGATATTTTAACAAAAAAAAAAAAAAACATATTACAGCCAAGTTTTGAGAATATATGTACATATAGATGCTACTCTGTTTGGAAAGTTTGAAACGGGATTCAAATCTGAAACGGCATTCTAAAATTTTGTATAACCATGTAAATTAAAATTTTTTCAATAAAAATCGAGATATTTCTTTCACTGAAACGGTATCACTAATTTTTCCATAATTATCGAAAATTTCTTCACTTGTTTGCGTTTCTCTATAATTTATGTAAATACTACGGGTTTTGAAAAAATAAATGTTTTTTTTTACCGTTTTTTGGCAACTATCAATATTTTCTGCACTAAGTCGACAAATTTTTGGAAAATATCAATATGGTGTTTATCGAAATTTTTTTCAATTAACATTTTCAGAAAAAAAAAGTTTCCTGTCGAATTCAGCATTCAATAAATTTCGAAAATTGTACAGATTTGGACGAACGTAAGAGTAAGTCCAAAAAGTTTTTGAAACTTTTTGCGCTAAATCGACTTTTTTTGGTAGTTATCGAAATGGTATTTATCGATATTTTCGTCAAATGTATGTTCTCAAAAATACCCCTTCCAGTTTCATTTGAATTTTCTATAGATTTCAAAAATACTACATATTTTGGAAAATGTACTGGTAAATGCAAAATATTTATTGAATATTCGATTTAAAATTTTTTGCGCCAAATTGACATTCTTCGGGAACTATCAAAATTTTACTCATCGAAAAGTACCCTTTTAAGTTCAGAGTTTCATTTAAATTTTTCTATAGATTTCGAAAATACTGCAGGTTTTGAAAAATATGTATGCCGGCAAATCGAAAAATCATCTAAATTTTATAACTTTCGATAACTATCGATATCTCTTTCGCTAAATCAGCATTTTGAACTTTTTTATTTAATAAAACTTACGTTCCGTTGAGAATACAGAATTTTATTGAATTTTGTATCTATATTTTTCGAAAATATCATAGTTTTAGAAAAAATATGCCTACTGGTAAATTAAAATGTTTTGATAAAAATTCAATTAACTTACTATACATGTTGCAGCATTGATCAATCTTTTCTTCAATAAATCGAAATTTTTTCTTGCTTATTTTGCATTTAAATCGATAATTTTTGGTTGTTCTTTTTTTTTTTGCTTAAAGATTTCTTCAAATAATGTTGATAGTTTACGTGCATTTCGATGCGGCCAAAAATATTTAAAACAAATCTATACTTTTTTGCTTTTTCCGCAGATAATTCTTCAATATTTTGATCAACGTTTCTGCATTTAACGATATTTGTTTGAATAAGTTTTCGATAAATACCGGTAGCATTGTGCACATCGAAGCGATCCTGAAATGTTTGATACTTTCAAATGAAATAAATGATTATTTTCAATCTTTCTGCTATGTATCTACTGTAAAAATCGTAAATTCATCGGAGAATAATACACTATGTAGATAAAATCTATTGAAACTTTAAAATTAATCAATTAATTTCTGCCGTATAAGCGAGTTCTACTCGAGTTTTAAAAATATTTGTTCTATCATTATCGATATTGTTCGATAATTATCGATACTTTTCAGATAATTATCACTATTTTTCAAATACTATCGGTTTTCGATAGTTATCGATATTTTCTTAGATAAGTCTTTGACATATATTTATCGCGGTCAATATTTATCAATAAATCTTTTTCGCGGGCGATCGATAATAAATGTTTGCATCAACGCGATCACAATCGACCAATTTTGTGATTCTCCAGTCATTAAAAAAAAAATTCTAAAAAAAAATTCATAAATTACTTTTTCTATTTCAAATACCGGCATTTTCTTCTATTGTTTATAAGTCATATACCGTTCATGAGTACAAAACAATTTCATATCTGGCTAATGGCCCCCTGCTTGCAAAACCATCTGGCAACACTTTGCCCAAGCCACGCACGCACACATTACATACATGCCACCCCTCAACCATGACCGCCTTAGGCTGGGGTCAAATTAAAAGACACAGTTACAGGTCCTGAGATGCGTTTCCTAACGGGCAAATAAACAATAGCTGGCACAAACCTGTTACATTGCTCCTCCGCGTCACCGTTATCAGCGTCTGCCGCCATTGCATCCTTTTCACGCCGCTGCTGTTGCAATTCCAAGACGAAAGCTTGCATTTGTGGCTCTCCATCGGCCATGTCGACAACCGCAGCGCTGTCTTTTGGCACAGCATACGAAGCTATTTTGCCGCTTTTCTCCGCTAACTGATTGAGCGCATCCTGTTGAGCCGGCATGTTGGCGGCTGTGAGAATGGGTGACGTTGCGATTGTGCGGGTCTTATCCACTTTCGCATTGACTGCCGCCCTGCTGGCGGTGGCCTCTTTGTGGTTCTCCTTAGCGTCCGCATGCTTAGCACTGCGTTGTGCCACTGCATTTTCTTTAGACGACTTGCATTTGCTGCCGCTGCTGCTGCCAGTCGATGTGGTGATGCGTGTTGACAAATTGGTTGGTTCCACACGGCTGCTCTCTGCTGCTTGCACAGCAGCACTGTTAGTAGGCATCAACGGAGCCACTTGAAATTTGTCGTCCGCCACTAATGCGCTACTATTAGTGCTGTCCGCCTTTGATTTGACCTCGTCACGTCCACCTGCTTCATCTTTTGTACCAGTTCTGCCCATGTATTGGTCGTGTGCGGCGGCAGCGCTCAGGTCACCAGCAACGCCACCACCACCGAGCAGCGAATGCGAGCGTTCGTGTATGAATAGAAATGCGTAATAGGGAGTGGTGAAGGGACACATCGTGCACTGGTACTCTTGCAGACGCGGCGATTGGAGTGCCTGTTCGGCGACCACACCAAACATGCCAGGCAACATATTCTTGGGCATGTTGCCGAGTAAATGTTGCGCATTTAGGTTTTGCAGAGCTTGAGCAAGATTCGTGGGGTTCGGTAGAAGTCCAGCAGCAGTACTGGCGCTGCCGCCTGTACTAGTGGTGCCGCCGCCGCTAGGACCGGTGCTGCCCGAGCCGTTGGGTATTTTGAGCGTGGGGCTAGTAGACTTACACAACGGGCCGTACTGCTGCTCGATTTCGCGCAGTTTTTCAATGCCCGCCGATCCGTGATCGCTCAGCAAATGACCACGCAGCCACTTGGCGCTGCGGAAGCGGCGCGTACAAATTACGCAGACCTCTGTATAATTGGCGTAGTCCGATTTGGAGTCTCCGGAGTTGCCGCTGCCAAAGGGGCTCTGGTTGAGTCCGCGACTGTATTCCATTTCTGCAGCTGGCAGTTGTGGTTGTTGCTGCGACTGTGGCGGCTGCTGTTGCTGTTGCTGTTGAGCCTCGAAGCTCAATCCGTTCTGGCGTGGCTGCGGCAGCGGTGCGCCCTCCTCAACAATGCCGTGCGTGTTGTGTTTATGCACGCGCAGAAAATATTTGCTGCAAAGCTCCTTGTTGCAGATGTTGCAAACAACGCCACCAATTTGTGCGCCATTCTCGATTTCGATGCCGTGCATGCGTTGCATGTGTGTCTTCATGAAATATTTGTTGCACAGCTCCTTATTGCAGATTTCGCAGTAGCTGCTGGTGGGTGTGATGGTGTAGGGCGGTCGTGAGTTAGTGGCTGCGGCGCTCGCGTTTATCGGACGTTCGGGTGTGACAAAACCTTCGCGGAGTGGACTACCTGACAGCAGATGGACTTCGGCGATATGTTGTTTGAATTCTTGTATATTGGCAAAGTCGCGATCGCACTGATTGCAACGCATCTCGTTGAGCGGTGGTAGAACACCTGGTGAGCCGGATGGCGAAAGTTTGAGCGCTTGTTGGGCCTGCAGCTGTTGCTGCTGCTGAAATAGGTGTTGCTGAAAGTTCAGCGGCAGTGTACTTGCACCGCCGTCAAAGAGACCAGCGTGTTCGGTTGCAATGTGTGCTTGCAGCGTATATTGGTTCTCCATTTCCCTGCCGCAGAGGTGACAGCCCAACGAATGTTTGCCATTCAAGTCATTGAGTTGTTGTATCATTGATTGGAGCTTTTGGAGGTTTTGCAAACCCGCCACCGCCTCAGGACTAGCCGGCATATTGGCACCCGAATTGTAGGATTCTGCTAAAATCTTTTGTGGCTCTGGCGTAGACGGCATGCTATTACTAGCCGCCTGCTGTGACGGTTGCTCAGCCGATTGACGGCCGGAGGAGCACTTATTCTCTTGATTTTCATCATTACCGCGTGATATGTCCTCGTCCACTTGCTCGAGCTTGATGCGTTTGGCCATGTGCTGAGTCGTCTCATCCACGCTAGCATTGGCTGTGGCGGAAGTAGCTGCATTGGCGGCCGCAAACATGCGTTGTGCCATAAGCGCCTTGTCGCCGGCCATCATCAAGTTCAGCGGCATGCCCGGCAGACCCATGAATGGCCATGACATCTTCTGCGTTAGCTGCAGTTGCTCATCCTTCACGTCATCTGGCGGCACGAATATGCCGTGACGCTTCCATTTGTGCGTACGCAGGAAATACTTGTTGCAGTATTCTTTACAACAGATTTCGCAGAAAGCTTCCGGATTGAGCACGCCAAGCCGACGTAGCTTATCGTGTGCGAAGTTGGCATCACGCGCCTGCTGTTGCGATTGCGGCGATAATTTGCGTGGTTGTGGCGTGAAAGCCACTTCCTCTTGTTCGAGCGTGAAGTCCTGCCGAAAGCCGTCGGGCATTTGGAACTGTTTACCAGCACCAGAACTAGCAGCATCCGTGACCACCGTTTCATGTTTCGTTTCATTTTGTGCAGCAGTGGCTGTATCTGGCTTCGCTGTGGACTGTGGTGGCTGCGGTGGTGGCGTCGGTATCGGCTGCTCGCCACCAGGGCTGTTACGCGGTAGCTGTTCGTGCGATTTGGCGCGATGACGACGCATGGCGAAGACATTGGTGAAACGTTTTGAGCAAATGTCGCAATACACCGGCGGCGGTGCGGGCGGTGTGAGTTGTTGTGCGGTTGCGCTGTTGGCTGCTTGTGCGCTGAGTTGCTTCTGTTGAACCTCTTCCAAAGCCAGTTGTTGTTTCTGCTGCAATTGTTGCATGCTGTGCTGCTGCTGCTGCTGCTGTTGCTGTTGTTGCATTTGAAGTTGTAACATTTGCGTCATGGCATTCATATTTCCACCAGCCGCAGTGCTGTTGCCGCTCTCGCCGCTGCCAGAAACGGCCGGATCGTAGATGCCATGCTTGTTGGCCTTGTGCGTCTTGAGGAAGTATTTATTGCAGAATTCTTTGTTGCAGAGATCGCAATAAGCTTCGGGATTGAAAATGCGCAACGGCGGACGATTTAACCCATCGACGCTGGGGAAGCCAGGCATGCCAAGGAGTGGCAGATAGCCGCTGGCTGAGAGCGCAGCTGCAGCAGCAGCCTCCGGTGGAAAGGGGAAACCCATGCCCGGCATGGCGTGCAACCAGGGTTCTTTGCCATTTGTCAGCAGGCTGGGTGTAGAGCTCTCATTTTTGTTGCTCGAGGCGGCGGCAGGTGGAGACGTAGAGTTGTCATAGTCGGGACGCTCGATTTTTACGTTCACCGCGCCAAGCATATCGTATGGCATGTGCTCCGCCTTTTGTTGTGCGCCCTCCGCAGCGCCGCCAACGCTACCCTGCTCCAGCTCATCATTCTGATGCTCCTGCAGCATATGCAAGCCAAGCTTAAATTCGGTTTCAAAGTTCTCGCCACATGTTTTGCAGAACGTGTGATAAGGGTTCTGCCACTCATCGGCTGATGCCTGTAGCTCTGTGGCTTTCTGCTCACTCACTTCTTCGGCGTTGCAAATTTTTGCCTCCAAATGGGCCTCTCTTTTCGGTATAATTTCGTGGGGCGTCGAAAGATTCGATCCGTCGCATACCTCGCCCGCATCTGGTGATATGTCTCCAAATTGCTGTTGCCTTTGCTGCTGCAACATTTCAAACGTTTCCTTCAGCTGTTCCATTGACTTTGGTAAGAACATTTTCGATAATTTCTCTTCGTAATCTATTGGCAGTGCTGTTGGTGGTGGCTTATCTGCAATTATGGCTTCTGCAGTCGCATTGATTAGCGCCCCTTCACTGGCCTCATTCAGCTGTAGTGCTGCCGCGGCGGCTGCTGCTGCTGCCTGCGCCCCCAATCGACTGGGATTATTTTGTTTGCGTCGCTTCTTTGCAGCATCGTTGAGCGCCTCCAACAATTGCAGCTGCATGGCTGCTGCATTAGCTGCCGCTGCTACGGCCGCTATTGTGGCAGCTGAGGCGCTTTCTGTTGGCGATGATGTCGTTGACATGTCGGCATCATCGTCAATTACCCCTTCATCTCGTATTGTACTATCAATGGCCTCCTCAACTGTAATTGTGGCACTTGTAGTGATGCCGCCGTTAGACGCTTTTGGTGATGCGCTAATGCAGCGTTTTGGCGACTGCTGATCAACTTGGCTTGCAGCACCACCACCACCACCACCACTGCCGGCTAGGACTTCGGAAATTGTGCGTTTTTGTTTATTTGTTACTGGATTTGTTCTGGTTGTGTTGTTGTTGCTGGTAGTTGTGCTGTTGTTGTAGTTTGTGTTGTTGTTAGTAGTGTTGCTGTTGCTGTTGTTGCTACTGCGATTATTTAGCGAAGATGCATTCGAGACATCGGAAAGTGCAGTGTCCTCACTGCTTAAGTCTGGCGGTGGGGTAGCATAAATAGATGCGGCCATTTTTGTTATTACTGTTGGGAAATAAGTAAATAGAAGAGGATAAAATTAGTTGGTAATTAGAGAGGTTTTATCATCATTGTGAGTGCAATTAATATACTTTAAATATTCAATATTTGCAATTAAAAATCTAAATAAATACTACGTGGAGGTATAAGACATAAACATGCACATATATAGAAGTGCATATAAAAAATGTAAATAAAAATGTTAACTGTAAGATATGCCATTGGTTAAAGTAAATAAATATGCATACTAAAATTTGTTAAAAAAAGATTGCTCTATGCATTATTTTTTGAGGTTCCGAATTGCCCGGGATCCCGAAAAATTTTACATATCGAATGATTTTATGATTTTTGATTTTGATTTATGATTTTTGTAAAACGCCATTTTGACAACAATTAACAAAAAGCTTAAAATGTGCTTTTAAAATTGCAGCCTGAACCTTTTTTGTAGAATATTTAAAAGAATGTTCAAAAGAATGTGTTCAAGGCAGGATGGGCAAATGGAGTTGTCATTTGCCACATCAAGTGGCAGTCCCGTCTTTTCTATGAGAACAAAAAACTAGATAGACCTTCTGATATTGAAGGTTGATGAGTTTTTCCGGAAAAAAAATTAAAGTTAAATAAAGAGGCTATCAAGCAACCATTTTGGTTCTTTACTAACGAAACCAGATAAATTTGCGTGGACCCCCACTTACAACTCGTGGGCCCCCAAATTTGTTTCACACCAACGTAGACCCCCATATTTTTTTCACACCAACGTAGACCCATGTCGAGTCTCCCGTGGACCACTTTGGGAATCGCTGTCTTAGAGGCCCATATAAGGCGGCTGCACTGAACAGTTGCTCACTTGGAATGCTGTCGGGCAGAGCGCTCAAATATTTGCGGGCCAGATCTGTCAACTTGTCGTATTTTAATTTAGTTTTCCACCAATCGACAGGATTTTCACCGAGATGAGCTCGTTCTTCTTTAAGATATGCCTTCAATTGAGCTTTAATTTAAGATTTTTTAATGTCTCCAGATTTTTTATCCGAGCCTTCGCTTTCACTGGAGAAATCTAAAATTATTTCTATGTTGCTTATAAGACTTTTAGCAGTACTTGTTGAAGGCCCATCAATTTTACTTGATATACCACTTAACTGTTTAGCGCCTGATGCTAACAGCCGGTTATTGTTCGCACCCTGGTTAGACAGACTTATACGGTAGACAGATTGATGGGATTATTTGCATTAGCAGCATTTATTTGCTTTAACTCGTGAATAATCCTCTCACAAATGCGCATTGGCTCGATGGAAATGCACGAAATAAATGAGCATTTATACTGGATTTTCTAATTTGCATTTGGCAACGCTGTCCAAAATTGGCATATATTTTCTATTGTGAATGGTGACTGTGGTTGACAGCACGGAAATAATTAAAAGAGAATCCGAAAACAAGCATATCAGAAGTAAGTTATTTTAAAAAATTTGTTAAAAACAAATGAAATATATTAAAAAAATGAATTATATCTAATTTCAGATGGCCAGCGACAAAAAACGCAGTACTTGGAGCACCAGCGACGAGAAAGTGCTATTGGATTTATGGGCGGAACGTGCGGATGACTTGCGACGGGCGAAGCGCAATCTGCATATATATGCGGATATATCGACACAGATGGCGTCAAAGTTTAGTGCAAAGGAGGTCCACATAAAAATAAGAAACATGACCCAAAGATATAGGTAAGTCATTTTCCATTTAACCATTCTGAACACTAATTGCAAATGTACGTAAAATTTCAGAGAAGAAAAGAAAAAGGTAGGACCATCTGGTGGGAGTCCCTCGCTGTGGAAACATTTTGACGCAGTCCACCAAATCATCGGTTTCAACGCTGCAAACAACGCTGAGATTTTAGAATCTTTTTCAATGGTAAAATTTCAGTTTCACACATAAATATATATGTACATATATTTTTGTAAAACTTTAAAAATACATAAAACTTCTTAAATTTAGGATATATTGACATCAGGACCGCAGCCGGTGCCATCACCATCAAGTTTAGCGTCCCCATCCCCAGTGCCTCAGTCGTATCCATACGCTGCTGCTGCACCGTCATCAACCGCAGCACATCCATCGCCACCAACCGCTGTACCTTCACCGTCACCATCGCCTCAAACTTCGTCACCGCTTTCGTCGCCGGTGGAGTTGTCCAGTTCTTCGCCACTTGACACTTCGACTGCAGCTTCCACATCCTCTAAAAGGAAAAGAAATTATATGGGTGAGGTGGTGCAATTAGCTAAAGAGCAAAACGAGCTGTTAAAAGTGGTCATAGACGACGGAAAAGTTTTAACAGCAGAATGCGTTAATGCTATTAAAGAGCAAAGTAGTGCGACAAAAGAATTTATTAGTTTAATGAAAAGCGTTTTGGAAAAAAATGTAACTTAAAGTAGTATACAGTATCGGTCATATCTATAGCACGCCATTTCAAAGTGATATTGTGTGCCGCTTATGTTGATTTATTTATTTTTAAGAATTTTCAATTAAAATTTTGTTCATTCTCGGACAAACCCCATATATACCCAAGTTCAACAATTTGTAGAAAACTACAAAAAAGTGTAACAAATTTTCACCTAAATTTCAAACTTTTTTCTCGGTAGTGATAGAATTTTTTTGAGGACACAGTTTTTTAGCCCCTGCAATTTTAGTCTGATAATGTGCAAATTTCAAGTAGCTACGAATTACCGTTAATTTTTTAGAATTTTTTTTGTCGCATTGGCTTCCATATAATGAATAAACTCAATTTATTTGTATATGGAAGAAAACCGCAACATCCTTGGCGAAAAAAATTCTAAAAAATCAGCGGTAACTTTTAGCCACTTGAAACTTGCACATTATCAGACTAAAATTAATTGGGCTAAAAAACTGTGTATTCAGAAAAATTCAAACACTTCCGAGAAAAAAGTTTGAAATTTAGGTTAAAATTTGTTGCACTTTTTTGTAGTTTTCTATAAGTTTTTAAACTTGGGTTTATATGGGTTCTGTTAAATAAAAAACCGTATTTTAATTGAAAATTCTTAAAAATAAATAAATAAACATAAGTGGCACACAATATCACTTTGAAATGGCGTGCTATAGATATGACCGATACTGTACATATGTATGTTTAAACACTCATGAACAAAAAAAAATGGGTGTGCGGCATTTTGATAAATTTTGTTTGTATTTGGCTTTTGTTTATTTAATGTTTATTAACATTTTACAAAATTCTAGCGTATTATATAACAAAGAGCATATGTAAAATTCCACATTTCAAAGTTACGAATTCATAAAAACTGTTTTAGTAATATATTTAGACAAGTTTTTGGTATGCAGTTTTTTAAACCATTAAATTCTAGTATATTAAGTGCATCTTTAAGTAGCTGAGGATTCGAGCTGATTTTTAATAAATCTTTCTGCTGACCATATAAGGAAAATGGTTTCGCATACTCTATATGCGTAGAACCGTCAGCAAAAAAAATTATTAAAAATCAATGCGAATTCTCAGCCGCTCTGAAGATACACTTAATACACTAAAATTTAATGATTTAGAAAACTGCATACCAAAAAATTTTCTAAATATTCTGCTAAAAAAGTTTTATAAATTTTTCTAGATTTTGTACAAGCTTTGAAGTGTGGAATTTTACTTATGTTGTTTATTGTATAAAACGCTAGAATTTTATCAAAAGTTAATAAACATTAAATAAAAAAATCCAAATACAACCAAAATTTATCAAAATGCCGCACACCCATTTTTTTGTTCATGAGTATACTTATATGTAAGTATGGCAAAGTTGGAGGCGATCTGCCTACTCAAAAAAGACAAAAAAAAGTAGAATAAAAATTGATTTAATTTTGGTTTTAATCTAATTTTAGGCACATATATATGTATTTATGTAAGCAAAAGTGAATTGAAATAGAAAATAACTGAAAAGGAAATGAATTTAAATAAAAATAACTACTGCGAGCAGCAAAATAGAGTCTTTTTCCTTACGAAAACTCATAGCAATGGCATTCCTTATAGCCGCTGCTGTTAGGTCATTTTCACCAACTCTTGTTGTGTGATTAGGTTGATTCCTTGCTGATCCGTATTCTGCTGCATCCTGCATCCAGACGGAAGAAACTTCATCGTTCTCAAGTTTTAAAAAATTGTGTAAAATACAGCAGGCCTGTATTATAACGTTAACATTTTTAGGTGCTACTTGTAAGCCTCTCCCTATTTTTCGGAAACGAGCCTTCAGCTGGCCGAAAGCATTTTCGATCACACGCCGACATTTGGACAGGCGATAGTTAAAGAGTTTTTCAGCAGCTGGTTGGTTAGCTACATATGGATATGGTTTCATCATGTGGCGCGATAACCGAAAGGCCGAATCGCCCATAAGTAGCACAGGTATATTGAATCCGCCAATAAGCTCGCTATTTTGTACGAAAATGTCTGCGCTTTCATGAAATTGTTTTAATGAACTTTTTTCAAATATGTAAGAGTCATTATTTCTTCCAGTAGATCCAATGTTAATATACGTAAATTTTGACCTGTAAGTCCAAATAATTTAAAAATATACATATGCATGCGATACAGTGCAGCCATAAATTTACATACCTGTGATCACAGCTTGCCAATAAAACCACGGAATACCATCCTTTGTAATTGTGGTAATCTACGGCATCCTCCTTTCTTGGCTGCACTTCAATGTGACATCCATCTACAGCTCCAAAGCATTGCGGAAACCCTAGGACTGCGAAACCGTCTACGATTCTTTTGATTTCTTGTTGATTTGGGGGGTATGTATTAATGCAATCCGCAAAATTATCGCAAACTGAGTGGCAAAAATCCAGAACAATTTCACCAACAGTACTTCGGCCAACTCCAAATAAACTAGAAACGGTTCTATACTCTGCTGCAGAACCCAATGAGAAAAGTGCGATAGCCACCCTCTTTTCGAGTGGAATACAACGCCTCAGGTTGCTATCAATTTTCTCCATGTTTCGTACTT